ACTAGTGCCGAATTAAAGAATTTGCCAGACCAGGGGAGGTCAATATTGTCTAGCAGCATCACCAACACGTCCACTGCTGATTGGACTCCTAGAAGACAGTTAGGGGTAAACTAGAGCTAAATACCAGCACAGAACACAGAGCCAGGACTGGCGGCTGTAAACAAACTTTATGGGACTGCGGGAAATTTGGCCACACCCATGCTAAGTGGCCATCCAGCTCCCTAAAATCATGCTGGACCAGAGACAGCTGGACGAGAGAGATTCAACCTGTACCAAGCACAATATTGTTGGGAAATTCCACATGCTGGAGTTGAAAGACAAGGAGAACCTGAATGAAGTCAAAACGTTTAGCCCTGGGAAAATTAGTTCTGGATGGAAAGTCGCATACCCAAGCATGGATTTAGATTGACTTGTATAAATGTAAGGGCAAAAAAGAGAGGGTGAGTGTTAAAAATTAAATGTACCAGTATATAGCTGTGAAGTGGAGTTGGTGTTTTGAAATATAGAGAGAGGTCCAAAAAGGGGGGAAAAAAAACCAAAACAAAACCAGAAGCGTAAGGATGGCACCCAGCATATCAAGATTGGGAATTAGTGCAGCCACAAGAATAGTTGACGCTGAATCAGTAGCAATAAACTGGATCTGAACTGCACATCTAGCAGCAGCTGACATTGTTCTGTCTCCAGTTTTCTGTGGATAAAAGAGTCTCAGTCTGGAGAAGTGATGTAATTGAGGAAGTCTGCCCTATAATAACAGAGTTGTGACACATGGGGAGCCAGGCAGCCTTAGCTTGGATCGCAGTGCTTATTAGGATAGCAGGAAACAAAATGGCCAACATACCAGCCAAAAGCGCTGTGACAAATGGGATGACTCACCCAGAAATACCCTGGAGTAAGCAGGAATTCAAAAGCCAGGGACAGCAAAATTGAAAAGGGAAATGGGGGGGGGGGAGGAGAGAGAAAGAGGAAGCTGCTTAGCTCAAGGCCTGGAGCTAAGGGTTATGATACACTCCGGGGCTGGATAAGATGCAGGAAATGCTTTTGTTTAAAGTACGAACATTGTGGCTCAAACAAACAGCTTTGCCAGATGACGAGTCACGAGGCCAGACAGGTGCGGCCTGTAAGGTGGGAGAAAGGCCGAGTCACCTTTTAGGGGTATGTCGTCAGGACTTCGCTAAAGAAAAGGCAAAACTTTGTGAGGTGGTTACAGACCCCTCTGTCCCGTCCCCTCTCTCCACCAAGCCTGTCTCCCATGATCCTCCCCTGCGCTGGTGCATACATACCCCCGCCAGGCCTGAAACCTCCCTCAGACCGCCTTTCCTCCCCCCTCCGCTAACCCCCAGCTGCAGCTGTCTCCCTCCTCCCTGGCTATTTGTCCCCTTCCCCACTCCCACACACCAGGAGAGGCATCAGGATCTTGCGCAAAACAGGGGTTTTGTGCTAAAAAAAAAAAAAAAATCCACACTGCTTGTTTTTGCGCAAAAACCCCTTGCGCAAAACCGACTTCAATAACTTATGTAAATGAAGTGTGGCAATATGCTAATCTGTGCTTTATTTGCATAGGCTCTTCCGGAAAAGGCCACAGTGTAGATGAAGCCTCGGAGAGACGCACACCCTTGTCTGTGCCCTACACATTTTGGGGGTCTAAGGCAGTGTTCCCTCTCATTTTTTTCCCATGCATGTGCAGAATAAATGTTAAGATGTGCACTGAGGCGTGTGTGAATGTGCACCACCAGTAGAAACAAACACCTAGCTGTGGGCACTCTGTTAATCTTCGGGGTAGCATTTGGATTTCTCCTGGGCAGCTGCCCAAGCACACAGCTGCCAGGGAACTCTTATCTAAGACTCCCCACCCAGCACCACAGCAATGTGCTAGAGAGCTATGCACACCTGCATAGACATTGCAGCTCAGGCTGCAGAGCCTTCTCCCAAGCTACCCCCTCCCTCAACCTGCACCCCAGTGCAAGCCACAATGGCTGCCAAGGTTCACTCTATTTTTTCCATCCATGTGCAGAATCAATTTGATTATGTGCACTGAGGCACGTGTCGATGTGCACCACCAGTAGAATCATGCTGCCGGCTCTAGGCGCTCTGCTAATCATCTGGGTGGCATTTGAATCTCTCCTGGGCAGCCGCCCAAGCGCTCCACTTACAGGGAACACTGATGGCTGCCCAGCCAGGTTTCACATGCGGCCACAAATTCTTTTAGCGCCTGTCCTTGGACCCAGGCACCCCCCCAGCCACACTGTTAACGCATCCAAAGGGGCATCGGCATTTGCCCTATTCATTTTTTTTACACAGGGAATAGCCAGTCTTGACTCTGCCCTGCTCCAAGCCCCACGTCCCCTTCCCACTCAGCTAGGGCTGGAGAAGTGTGGCTCAATATTACCCCCCAGTTATCACAGTCCGAAAGTGTCCTCTCCCTACCAGCAGCTGCTGATTCCTCCTTTGGCATGTGACCCTGTCACGTTATTGGATTTTAAAGATCACTGTTGCACCCATGGGACCCTGTAGATACAAAGGGGGCCATGTGAGGTGTCAAATGAAAGCTTCTGTTCTACTGATTCTGTATATGCTATTCATGTATGTGACGGGCCATCAACGGCCCGCACGCCGAGCGGCTCGAGCCGCCGGGAGACGAGGGGGCCGTGGGCAAAACCCCCCACACACACCGCAAGGCCGCCGGAGAATGGGGAAGGCGGTGGGAAGGCTCAGGGAGCGACAGCCGGGACGTGGCTGGGGAAGCCGCCATGTCACCGGAGGGGTGGGGCCTCCTGACCGCATCCAGCCCGGCGGGCCATTTTAAAAAGGCCCGCCGGCAGAGAGGGAGGGGGCAGCCTCCTCTCGGGGAGGTAGAAGAGACCTAGGACGGACCTGGTGCGTGACTGAGGCCGGCAGGCGGCCCGTCCCCATCCCAGGGGCTCCCGAGATGGCCCCCGCAGCCGGCGGTTGACCAGTCCTGGGTCGGAGGACGACCAGGACAAACCCTGCCGCCCACGGACAGAGCAGCTCGGCTGGGACAAGCTCCACGGGAGCAAACAAAACCGCGGGACGTCAGCGGAGCAACCCCGAACCTGGACCCCCGAATCCTGGTAGGCATCGGGGAATGGCAAGGGTACTCGAGGGACCAGGGGAGGGCCTGAGTCCCCCTCCCCATCCCCCTTGAGGACCCAACCCGTCAGAATCAGAGCATGCACAAACCAGTGAACTGTGGCGGCCGGCCGGTAGGGTCGGCCAGGGTATCGTCCCTTTGAGGGACCAGATTAGGGGCGCAGGCTCCCCCACCCCCACTGCTGAACCCCCCTCTCCTGCTCGGCAGGGAGGGGGTGATCGCACCCAACTGACGGGATGCACGACCGGGGATCCGAGCTGGGGACCCGGTTAGAGGATGAAGGGGGGGGGTGATCGCACCCCACGACTCGTCCACAATGTACTTGTATAATATCTCTACGTGGAGCTATAAACATGTGCTCTGTGCTGAGGCAGAGCAATGCTGAACCCCCCTCTCCTGCTCGGCAGGGAGGGGGTGATCGCACCCAACTGACGGGATGCACGACCGGGGATCCGAGCTGGGGACCCGGTTAGAGGATGAAGGGGGGGGGTGATCGCACCCCACGACTCGTCCACAATGTACTTGTATAATATCTCTACGTGGAGCTATAAACATGTGCTCTGTGCTGAGGCAGAGCAATGGGCAAAGACTATTCAGCCAGCGACTATGCTAATTAGCAACCATCCAGGGACAATGGATCGCTAGGTGCCAATACACACCTGAAGAATGTATCCGGAAATCTGGATACCTGCAGACCAGCCAGAGCATAATGGCTGCCAGCATGTGAAACAGATAGGTCACTCGATCATGTGACCTGCTCTGGCCAGGAAGATGCCAGGAGAGGTATATAAGTGCCATGTGGCAATCTCCAGCTTGTATTCAGTTCAGCTACTGATTCCAGATGCAGCCTTGCAAGGAACAGCGAGCTGGAAAGAACCGTGGACCCGTCCTGACATAGAGGCTGTGTCTAGACTGGCAAGTTTTTCCGCAAAATCATCTGATTTTGCGGAAAAACTTGCATGTACTTGTATAATATCTCTACGTGGAGCTATAAACATGTGCTCTGTGCTGAGGCAGAGCAATGGGCAAAGACTATTCAGCCAGCGACTATGCTAATTAGCAACCATCCAGGGACAATGGATCGCTAGGTGCCAATACACACCTGAAGAATGTATCCGGAAATCTGGATACCTGCAGACCAGCCAGAGCATAATGGCTGCCAGCATGTGAAACAGATAGGTCACTCGATCATGTGACCTGCTCTGGCCAGGAAGATGCCAGGAGAGGTATATAAGTGCCATGTGGCAATCTCCAGCTTGTATTCAGTTCAGCTACTGATTCCAGATGCAGCCTTGCAAGGAACAGCGAGCTGGAAAGAACCGTGGACCCGTCCTGACATAGAGGCTGTGTCTAGACTGGCAAGTTTTTCCGCAAAATCATCTGATTTTGCGGAAAAACTTGCCAACTGTCTACACTGGTCGCTTGAATTTCTGCAAGAACACTGACAATCTCATGTAAGATCGTCCATGTTCTTGCGGAAATACTGTGCTGCTCCCGTCCCAGAGCGTAAATTGATTGGGACCTGTGGCTGGTTTCTTGGGACTGGGAGAACCCATTCGGGGTAGGAGAAATTGGGTTCTATAACCCCTCACCTGTGTGCTAGGCTCAGGGCTGATTGCGGCACAGAGAGAGCTGTGGGGTCAGAGGGGTTTTGCTCATGAGACTTCATGCTGGCCAGATAGGTAGCTGGAGCGCTCCGTGTGACTGGTGTGTGGCCTATTTGGGAAGGTCTCCAGTCTGGGGCTGTAAGGAGCCCCGAGTTTGAGCAATTTGCCCTGAGCGGACACCCTCAGCTGTGACCAGACCCGGCCCGGTCCGTCACAGACCCCCCCACCCCAATAATCCTCCTTGCCACCAAGCCAAGCACCACGGAGTGGCTGCCCCGCTCTTAGACAGTTCTGCCTTTTTTAATATAAATACAAAGGTACAAAAGTTGCTTCTTGATTCAAATAATAACGGCTGGGATTACAGCCATTTCCCCTTTCGGCAGGGTGGGGAAGAGGCTGGCCCCTCCCCCGACACAGTGTCAAGGAGTTGGCACAGGTAGATGGAGATGGGCGGCTGCCGGGGTTTAGCGTGGGGGGACGTGGGCGTGTCTGGCGAGAAGTGGAGCACAGCCTTGTCCTGGCTGCAGTGGAATTGCCTTGCCTGGAACCCAATGCAAAGGACAAACGGGTTCTGTCCTGGAAGTGAGAGCGTGGGGGTGGGAGGCTGCATGCTGTGGCTCCTCTATCTCCTGGCGAAAAGCAGAACAAGAACCGGTGGCTGCGGAGCTGAACTGAGACAAGTTCACATTAGAAAGCAGGCACCACTTTTTCTCGCTCGGGGAGATGATTAGCCTCCAGAACGCACGCTTAGGGGAAGTGGTGGCTCCTCCATTTCTTGGTGTCTTCCAATCCCAACCGGATGCCCATTATGGAAGAGGTGTTAGCCAATTGCAGGCTATTAGGTTCAGTAGAGGGATACCTGGGTGATAGGGTTGCCAGATACTTTCAGAAAAAATACCAAACATGGCAGGAAAAAAAAATTGGTTGAGCAAAACAAACAAACAAAGGGGATCAAAGTTGTTGAGCAAAAAAAAAACCACACACAAAAAAGGGCCCTGTGCCTTTAAATCCCCTCGCTCGCCACTCCCCACACACCTGCCAGATGCGGCAGGGGAGGAATGTCCCAAGTGGCCTTCCGTCTGAGAAAAACATAAAATACCGGACATTTTACATGTCTGGTATTTTGGTTTTTTTACTGGACAGAGGCCGCAAATATCAGACTGTCCGGGCCAATTCCGGACACCTGGCAATCCTACTGGGTAAAACGTAAGGGTGTGGGCTACACAGGATGTCAGACCAGTCCACTCTGGCTTTAAACTCTATGAGGAGCTGTGGGGATTCAGGGCTGATGTCCAGGGTTCCCTCTAACATTTTCCATCCGTGTGCAGAATAAATGTTCTGTGCACCGAGGTATGTGCAGCATGTGTATCACCAGTAGAAACATGCTTCCACATAGCATGTAGCTTCCAGCTCTGCCCATCATCTGAGTGGCATTTAAGTCTCTCCTGGATGGCCGCCCAAGCGCTCAGCTTACAGGGAACAGTGCTGATGCCCTTTATCTTCCCAGAGCCTGGAGTAAGATGGAGACCCCTCCCAAATTTGCAGCTCTCATCGGCGCAGTCCAGAAGCTGAACACTCCAGCCCTTCCTGCTCAGTGGAAAGCACCTGCTTGGTGCTCGGGTGGCTGGCAAAGCCAGGCCAGGAGAGGAAGCTGCAGTTTGGTTTGTGCCTTTGCTGTTGGGAAATGAAGAATTTTTCCAGGGATGTTTTTTTAAAAAACAAAATCAACTTTTCAGCCAAACAAACAAACAAACCAACCCAAACACATAAAACCAAAATATTTGGGATTGGAAATGTTGCCACAGTTCCAAACAGTTGAAATTTGGGTGCCCTATGATGCCCACATTCTCCACTGTAGTTTGAGCTCCAACATGCACCATGGTCCCTCCTTTTGGTGAGTGGCAGTTGTATCATGGGAAGTCGTGGCCATGGTGCATCATGGGAAATGTAGTCCAGCTGAGGTCCCTGATCCAGAGATGAGAATGAGGATGAGGCATGTGAACTATAACTTGTATAAATTATACCCAAATTGAAATATTTCACATTTTGGCTGAGATATCTTAGTTTCTTCCAACAATTTTTTTCCACAGTAAGCAGATATTTTTATCTTGTGGAGAACCTGATTTTCCATTGAAAAATCATTTTGAGAGAAAGTTTTCACGCAGCCCTCGTCTTAACCAGTTGGGACATCTTTGGAAACATGGGGAAGAGCCAAAAATGAGTTTCCCTCCCTGGAACAGACCCTGGATGTAAAGGGGAAGCCGTGTGTGAGGGTGCGGATAGAGGTAGGTGGTTCGTTGCCTTCATTTCCCTTCCAGGTCTGCGACGAGGAACTTGCATTTGTCCGCCAGTGCCTTGTAGAGCTGGTCTTTGCAGTACCTGTTCCAGCTCAGCATGAACTCGTAGAGCTTCCGCATTCTCATGGGGTTGGTTCTCTCGGCGAGAATGGTCTGGTACTGCTCGTGGTCCAGCACGCTGCCCAGCAGCTTGTCCAGGATGCCCTCAACCAAAGTTACTCGCTGGATGAGCTGTTCTCGGTGCCGGTCAACAAAGTGTATCTCTGAGGGGAGAAAGAGGGACAGAGGAGAGTAAGGAGACGGGCTGCCTCGTGCTCTCTGCCGCACGCTGATTATCTATAGGGTCCCTTAGCTACTCTGTGATCTACAGGGTCGACGCATGAGGGGGAGGGGCACATGCCTCCCCAATACCATTGGCAGGAGAGGCAAGAAGCCAGCAGCGATTGGGGTCAGAGCCTCTGGGCAGCTTGGGGGACTAGCGGGGAGGCCTGGCACCCACAGTAGGGGTCGGGGCTCCCCACACACTCACCAGCAGCTGCAGGGGGAAGGGGAGCAAAGTGGCCAGCCGCTGGGGGGGCAGCCCAGGCTGTGGCTGCCTCCCTCTGCTTCCCACCCCCGCCCAATAGCTCCCCTCAGTCCTGGAGCCTCCTTCTGGACATCTGGCCAACCACCTCTCCTCTGCCAGGCCCTCTGTCCTCTGCCTCTACTGACAGCAACCCTGCCCCGCTTGTCACGCCAGCCTGTGAGTGGGGGGTCACTTGGTCCTTCCCTCTTGACCGCCCGCCTCCCCGTATCCAGGCAGTGCCCAAACTTTGCTGCCTCTTCCTCCTCAGTGTCTCTGAGAACTGCCCTTTCCTCTGTCCACATCCCCAAAGGCTTTCTCCGGGTCTTTATCCCCTTTGGCCTCCTCCACCCCCACCTCACCCCTCGCCACTCCATTCCAAAGGGCGGTGCTCTGGGGTTGGACATGCCGCCATCTTGGGGCCCAAGGTTTCCGTGTCGGCTCACAACAACCACGGTGTTTCTAAAAGTTGGGTCCTGTAAGTCCTCAGCCCCTTTGGGTTCAAATCCACAGCCAATGTCTGAGTCAGCCCCCAAACTGGGGGGGGGCCTGTTTTCATCACTGGGCTTAGATCTGGCCCAAGGAAATCAAGGCAGAGCAACTGGCAAAACGCTGCCACTCCAGAACCTGACTTCGCCTTGATTGGGTCCTCACCCCCAGCCTGCAGCCTAACCCTGAGCAGAGTACGCACTCCTGGGCCCGGCGGCCTCCCGCCCCCTCTCCATTCAGCTGTCTTCAATGTAATAGGAAGACCTTGCCCAGCTAGCCTTGTCACTCACCATTTCTACCAGCCTCGTGTCCTCTGCCTTCCCCGGAAATGGGCTTCATTTCCCTGGTGTCGGGGGTAATGTCCCTGGTGTCGGGGGTAATGTCTCCGGCAACAGCTGTAACATCCCCGGAGTCAGGGGTCACAGGGGTAATGTCTCCGGAAACAGCTGTAACATCCCCGGAGTCAGGGGTCACTTCTATGGAAACAGATGTAACCTCGCTGGTGTCGGGGGCAAGATCTCTGGAAACAGGAGAAGCGTCCCTGGCGTCGGGGGCAATGTCTCTGGAAACAGCCGTAACTTCTGGAACTGCTTTGGAAATGGATGTAATTTCCTCGGTGGCGGAGGCAACTTCCTGTGATTCGGGGGTAACTTCCTTGGAGTCAGGGGTAGCTGCACCTATTCGGAGACCCCAGGAAACAGAATTAGAGGCCAGGAGAAGACATTACAGAAGCTGTTTTACCAGGGGAGAACAGTCCTTTCGGTGCGTACTGGATTTCTCATTCGGCATAGAGTTGAAAGGCTCAGTAAACACCTGTTTGTGCTGCTATTTGCCTGACACCCTGGCTAAAGTTGGCTGTCACATTTCTTTGGGGAAAACAACCCTGCTCGTACTCTTACAATTACAAATTTCCAATCCTTGCTTCCCAGTATCTTTTTTCTGGAAGGACTTTTCTGGTCTGGACGTTTGTTCTCAGCCCAACAGAGCCTCAGGAAAAGTCAGGACCTGAGAGGTTTGTTCATTGTTTTGCTTAGGAATAGCACACATGGATCCGGAGCCCTAGCCTTAGTCATTGTACACACCTGGAACAAGGAGATGACCCCAGCCCCAGTGTGCGTGATCCCATTGATCTGACTCAGGAAAGCCAGTAGGGGGAAGGTGAGATACAGGGCTAGAGGGACCCAGCAGTCTGATACAGACAGCATGGAGAAGGCGAGAGACCAGGCTAGATGGATCCAGTGGCTGGATCTGGAGCAGCAATTCCTATGTCCCAGCATTTTGGGCTCTTTAGTCCAGAACTCTCTGGTCTGGAAACCTCCGTCGTCCAGAATAATTTTAGTTGCTGGATGTCCACTTTTCATGCATGTGGCCAAGTTTTCTGCAGTTCCACACAGTTTGTTTACAGCCACCAGTCCTGGCTCTTAGTGCTCTGTGCTGTTATTTAGTGCTAATTTACCCCAAAATGTCTCCCAAGAGCCCAATAAGCAGAGGCAGTGTTGCTAAGACAACACCGACCTCCTGTGGTCTGGAAAATTCTCTGGTTCGGAACAGGTCATATCCCAAGGGCGCCAGCCTAGAGAGGTTCAGCCTGTACTAGGCTCGAGGTCTGGAGACAGGAAAATGCACGCTAGCAGAGAGGAAGCCCCCACCACCCATGGGTGCTAACGCTCCACCTCTACGCTCAGACTGACCTTTGACCTCCAGCGTCCCAGTGCTCCTCTCGATGGGGGTCTGCAGGGCCACATGACCCACCCGGCACAGGAACTCCACCCCTTGGTCTCTCTGCACCGAGGGGCTGAAGAACAGCGTCACCCTCTGCTGGTAGGTCTCCCCATCCCGGGCACAGGTCTCCTTGGGGACGATGGCGTAATCCATGGAGTCTTCGATAGGCTGAGCCACTCTCTCTCCTCGCTCCCTCCTGAGCCAGGTGACGGTGAGCTCGGGGGGGAAATACCCCGCAATGAAGCAACTCAAGGCCGCATGGCTGCCCTCCACCAGCGGCTGAGACTGGAAAATTTCTGACACCTCCGGGCTCCGCTGGACCACTGGGACATGACATGGAGAGAGAGGGAAGGAGAAATCTTGCCTCGGGTGGGGGCTGCCCTCTGTAGCATCTGCTAATGGCCACTGCTGGAGATGGGCGACTGGGCTGGACCATCGATCTGGTCTGAAGTTGCAAGGAAGGGGGCAGGACACAGTCTAGACTAGCTCAAAGATGTGACCCAGAGTGGTGTGGAGGGGCCACCAGGCTCAATCGGGGCTTTGGGGCAGTGCCTAGGTCCCATCATTACATCCCAGGACAACTTGATGTCTCTAGACCCCAATGTGGACCTCTGTGGGGGAGGGAAAGGGGACCCAGCCCTCCCCACGCTGTGCCTGATGACTCCACCAAGGCAGGACTGTCGTTCCCTTGACTCTAGCTGATGCTGTTGGCTTTCCACCTGGGCTCCCAGTCCTTGGGGGAGGAAGGGGGCGGAGCACAAGCCAGCTTCAGGGGGTTTGTGGAACCCCATGGTTGAACCCAGGTACCTCCCGTGGGGCAGAAATTGTGAGCCTGGGCCCTTCCCATGGGGCGGAGTCCCTACACCCCACCTGGAAATTGTCTATGAGACTTTAAGCCCTGCACACAGCGAACTACTGACCTGTGCGCCCCTCGGCTTTGTCCGGAGAGAGAACTTCCAACTGCGTGGAGTCCGGAGCCGCCGTCGGAGGAGGCTCTGGAGCAAATGAGGCAGAGAAGAGGCGTCAGAGCTCTCGCAGCTCAGAGCAGGCGGGGGCAGAGACCACTCAGCTGGTGCCTTGTTCCCCAGACACTTGCTACAGAGCCAGCAGGCGCAGGGCACTCCCCTGACAGCTCAGCAGTGTAACAACCGCTGGGCAGGGAAGAAATCCCCCCCTGGCCGCTTTCTACAAGAGCTAGTGAAGGGCACAAGCAGGGCCATGGGGCGCTCTGCCATTCACCACCAATGCATGGGAGGAGGACATGGGCGGGGCAGAGGGGCATCTCCTCCAGGTCTGCCGATGGTGGGGGAGGGACAAAGGGGGCAGCTGCCCCAGGTGATTCAAAGAGGCACCCTGAGCCCTTTACATGGCTGACGGAGCACTGTGCAGCTTGCTCCAGCCTGCTCTTAGAGCTGCCTGGGGAGGTGGGGGCGGGGCAGGCTCCGGGTGGGGGCATGGCCATCCAAGTGGTGTGGAGGGCAGGCTACCCTTGGCTCCGCCCTTTCCTCCTGAGGCCCCACCCCTTCTTTAAATGGGCAGCTGCCCCACCCCCCCCCCAGGGCTGGCCTTACCATGAGGCCAACTGAGGCGGCTGCCTCAGGTGCCAGACTGGGGAGGGCACCACTAGTATCCAGAGAATTGAGAGCTTTCAAAGTTTTGGCCCAAGCGATGGGGCATAGGGGCGTCATTTGAGCTCCCCACCTCAGGTGCCAAAATGTTGTGGGCCGGCCCTGTCAAAACCCATAACAGTGAAGACAGTGCAGCCTGGGCTTCAGCTCAGATATCCCAGCTGCTCTGGGAGTCTCGGAGCCTGGATCTGGAAAAGCCATGATCTCTCCCGGGCTGAGAGAAAGGAGGACTCCCTCCAGAGCCTTTCATGTGCCCCCTGAAGGGCACCCTACTCACCCGCTGCTCCGGCGCTAGCACTGGCAGGAAGGGTCTCGCTCTGCACAGCAGCAGCTGCAGGTTCTGGGGGTGCTAGAGGAAAAAATGGGGGACAATCAGTCTGGGGACCCATGGTCAGCTCGCAGCAGGGGGCAACACACGCTGCTCCCACGCCCCACCTGCTTCTTCCTCCACAGAGGGGACAAACTTAATTCTTAGAGGCTGGGAAAGGGGGGGGGGGGTGGGACCAAGGGGAAGGATCAATAATTGCAGAGAAGTGGGGTTCAGAGGACTAAAGCGGAATGCTCTGCCCCTCAGTTAGATTTGCTCCTTGGCCTTTCCTCTTCAAGTGAACACTGCACAGGCCTGCTACAAACGGGGCCAGAGGGGTGTCTGGCCCAGGGAATGGCAGGAAGGAAGACATACGGCAGTGGGAAGGAATAGGGTCCGTTCTGATGCAGTCTGCAAAGGCAGCCTGGACACCTGTCATGGCGCAATTTGTAATTTTTAAAAGAAACAAAGGAAATTCCCCATGTGACAACAAACAACTCTGTTAACCCGCAGTAGGGGTGGAGCGATGCCCTCACTTTACCTACAACACCACACAGCGCACGGTCAGCCTTGCGGTTAGGGACTCTCCGGGAGCCCCTCTTTTTGAGGCTCAGCGTGGGAGCCCGGCGACCCTTCGGGGCTGAAAAAAAAAAATCAGGTGACTGCAAAGTTCTAGTGTGAGGTCATGAGTGAGGCTGAATTTTGCCTAGCAATGACTTCTCTTGGGATGAAGTTGCAAGTGTGGGTAGGCCTGCGCCGGGGAGGCCCGGCCACAGACCGGCCCTCCATTGCGCCAGGTGCTGTACAAAATCCAGAACAAAATGAAACCCCTTGCCCCCAGCAAGGGTGCAGCCAGCATGAGTTTGTGTGTGCATAGACGCGGGAAGTTGGGGTGGAGGGGGTGCTGCAGCACCCCCACGATTTTTCCCCTAACTTCCCTGTGCACAGGGGCAAGCCTCAGTGCCAACCTGCCACCAGCATCACCAGCTCCGTATCCTGGCCTTTAGGCAGCCCTCCATGGGATCGTGCTGGGTCTCTGCGGTTTCCCCATGCCCCACTAGCTTCACTGCCACCCTCTGACCCCTGTGGTCCCATTGCCTGCCAGTCCCATCCTTGCAGGCTTCGCAGACCAGGCTGCTGGCCCTGGAGGCTCTGCTGCCACCTGGGGTCCTGCCACTGGACCGGAGCTCAGCAGTGCCCCCCAGCTCTGGCTCTGGCCTGGGGGCAGCGAGGGACTAAGTTTGCCAACACTCCTGGACCATATGGACCAGCTGCCATTGCCATGAACGGCGTCCGATTGGACCGATCTGGGACAGCTGTCGGAGGGGCACAAAACAAGTGTAAGGGAGGGGGCATAACTCAGCACCCCCACCTAAAATAGGTGCCAGTGCCAGTGTGTGCGGTGGGTTAGTTTTGCATGGTGAAAGGATGCTAAAGGAATAACACTGTATTCCCATGTGCGTGTGTCAATGTGTGTGTGTCAGTGTGTGTGTGAAGTGATGTTAAAGGAATAACACTGTATTCCTGTGTGTGTGTGTCAATGTGTGTGTGTCAGTGTGTGTGTGAAGTGATGTTAAAGGAATAACTGTATTCCTATGTGTGTCAACTGTGTGTCAATGTGTGTGTGTGTGAAGTGATGCTAATGGAATAACATTGTATTCCTCTGTGTGTGTGTATGTGAATGTGTGTGTGTGTGTGAGAGAGAGAGAGAGAGAGAGAGAGAGAGAGAGGTGTCAGTGTGCGTGTTTTTGCTTTTCACAGATGAGCTGGGAGAAGGGGGGGGGCGAGTCTCCCCAGGTGTAAATGGTCCCTAACTCCACACCAGCTCAGGATGTGGCAGGGGCCAGTGTGTGAGCGTGTGGGGGAGGGGAGGATAAGGGGTGCTGGCAGGAAGCCAGAATCAAAGTGAAAGCGGAGTTGGGGAGGAAGGAAGCAGCCTGCGCCCGGACACGCTCGAAAAGCGAGGCAGAATGGGGGCTGTGGTGACCCCTGCGAGGGGGGGTCTATCCACGGCGGGGGAGGGTGGGGAAGGGCTGGAGGGGGGATGCCCAGAAAGAGGCGGGTTGGGGGTGGGGAAAGGCTGGGGGGGGTCCCCATCTCTCTGTACCGTCTCTGCCGCATCCCTCTGCCTGGTCTCCGGGGTGCAGGTCCTGCGGCTGCTCCTCTGCGATCAGCTTCGCCCCCTCCCTCAGCAGACACGCCTGCAGCCTGTGGCTCATCCGCTGCAGCTCCCGCTCCCCCTTCTTTTCCAGGGGCTCCAGCACCTTCTTCAGCAGCTCCTGCAGCGCCATGCCCGGCCCCCGGCCCCCGGCCCCCGCCGCGGCTTCCCGGCAGAAGTGAAGCGGCGCGGGACCGATTGCTACATCTGCCGCTGTACGAGGTCCCCTTCGCCCCACCCCTTGGGCATTTCCCGCTCGTCACTCTCAGCTGCTCGCCAGCAGAGACGCGGGCGGGGGAGAAGGGAAGCGGGGACTCCGCTTTGTCCTCCCCTGGGACGTTCTGATCCGGATCGAACGCCCGTCAGTCAAACCCAGACCCGGCTCAAGACGGGGAACTGGATCCGGTGAGGGTATTTCTCAAAGGGAAAGGGGGACACTGTGTAGAGGGGGCTAGCCCCAGCTACCCCCGCCCGCCCCCGTGCGTGGTGGGGCTGGCTTGAGGGCCCCCCATTTGGGCACCCCCTTGTGGCTCATGGAAACCTAGAACTGGAAGGTCAAGTCCAGTCCCCTGCCCTCACGGCAGGACCAAGCACCGACTAGCCCTCCCCCATTGCATGGACAATCCCCTGCTCATTCCTCCACACTCCATTTGGTTTTTTTTATAACAGTGGGCAGAGTAAAGGGACAAATGTGCACTTTTTGCCCCCAAAAGCTGGGACGACCAGGACAGGACCAAAAAAAAGGGACTGTCCCAGCCAGGACCGGACATGTGGCCGCCTGACATGTAGATGAGATGATCTGGTTTGTATAATGCATGTTAGGCCATGACCTCTAGGTCCCTTCTGGATTGCGAGATTGGCTCCAAAAAAAAAATGAGATTTTTAAAATAGAATACATGTGTGTGTGTGGAGGGGGGGTCTCTTTGCTTCCCTTCCATGGCTTTGTGGAAGGGTTGCTCTTCCTGACACCTTCCCAGCCACAAGGGACTGACAGCTGAGATTCTCACATCATCCTTTCGGAGCTGGCTGGGGCTTTAAGAACCCCCCCCTTTCCTCCACACACACCCCAAACTTCACCCAACTCACACTAAAACCATGTGCGTGACCCTGCACAGGTAGGACCAGCCGGAGGCTCAGAAAGCTGGGGGTTGGGCACAAGTGATGTAATGCTTCGATTTGCATATCTGAACCTATGCCCCCTTGTTTGCATAGAAGGGAGGTCACCCGAGCGGAAAGGAAACTGCAACATGCAACAAATGCCAGGAGCCCCTTAGGATAACGGTTCCTTCCGGCCTTAGACAGCTCTGGCTCACTGCAGGGCGCCCAGCTCCCCCGAGGCTGGTGTCAGGGGAAGTTTGGGCAGCTCCCAGAAGCTCTGCCCTAGCTGCTGGGCTGGATGGAGGGGAGTCGTGGCTGGGTTGTTGGCCCCAGTGCCAGGGGCTGCTTGCCATTAGGTGAGGAGATGCTTTGCCTGGGCTGCTCCCGGCTCTGGCTGCCCATGGGGGTCAGTGCCTGGGGCGTATGGGGCTCAGGCTGCCCCAGGCTGGGTGGGGTGTTGAGGTTAACCGTAGCTGGGAGTAAGGGTTTTCTGCGGACTACCAGCAGCTGAGCTCTGAGGCGCTCTCTCCCTCTTGCCAAATCCGGGCATTTCAGCTCCGGGAAGCTGTTCAGGCCAGAGCTAAAACTGCCAGTGACAAACCCTCAGGCGCATGCCAGGCAGGGACAATATAGGGCTACCTTACACATTCAGGGTTGGATCCCTGATGGGGTCTATGTGTCAACCTAGCCCCCATGGCTGCTTTTCTCCTCCACGTGTCTCCACTGTAAACAAGAGGGGGACATCCCAGGCAGAGCGATGCCTCCCCTGGGTTAAAGTTGCCTGATACATTGACTTCAGTAAGACCTTGTTTTCGTTGTTTCTGGCTTCTTCAGACGGGAGCAGTTCAGGCTGACTTGCTTCCTGCTGGATGTCTGGCTCAGGCTGAATGTTCTGGAAAGTTTCAGTGGAAAGCGGAGGAATACGGGGCTGGAAGGGACTGCAGAGCAGGGATGGGAAGAGGGGGCAGGAGTGGGCCCTAGAACAGGGGTTTTGCCCAGGGCCCTGGGCCCCCCTAGGCATGGCCCTGGGGTGCGCCAATTTTTTCTTAAAAACAGGCAAATTGTGCCATGTTTTCTGTCTTCTTGCCTTTTCCCCGTAAGCATTGGGTGGCTCCTGCTGCTGGCTGGATCCCTGCTCATCAGCCGCGCAGCCACCCACGTGAAAGTGCCTAATGATAGGCGTAGGCCAAAGTGTGCCACGCTAGTGACAGGGTGAACATGCAGAGTGTGAGGCCAGCTATTCCCCCTGCAGGTCCACCAGTGCAGCCCCTGCTCTCAGCCAGCAGGTCCCTGCCCCCCAATTCCATTTCTGGCTGCACGCTGCAGTGACTGGTGAGTGCAGGCAGGCATTGGGTGGCAGCTAGTGACGTGTCTCCTCTGTTGCCCACCCGTCAGCCTGCTCTTTCTGTTCTCTTCTTGCTTTACCCTTTGGCACACGCTCCCCCCCCCTCGCTCCTCCACATCTCCACCGTGGGTGTGTGTGTCTCACGCCCAGTGCTGTGCACAGAACCAGCCCCTGGCTAGAGCACTCAGGTCACCAAGTACTTCCTCCACTGCCTCGGACTGGGCCAGCAGCCTGGGAAAGCCCAAGCCCCTTTGGGCCAGGGTGCTGGCTAGGAGGATCCAAGCCCTGGATGTGCCAAAGCCCCGCACAGTGCTGGCCCGGGGAAGGCTCTCTGCCCCTCAGCTGAGCTCTGGAGTGATGGTGGGAAATGATTTCCAGCCTGTTCTCGCCCCGAACCTGCAGCCTTCACAGCAGCCCCAGGAGCTTAGAATCCTCTTCACACATACACACCCTGCCCTGGGGCCTGCCCCCAGGAAATGTGGCGCTGTGCCATCTGGGGCTGCTGAGAGACTTCGCCCAGTCCGGGGCAAGGTGCGAAGGGCGGCTCTGTAGCTGTGTGCCAGTTGAGAACTGCTGGTCTAGATCATCACAGACTTCACTATCACCAGGGATCTTAGTTTTCCGTGATAACCCTCCGCCTCACCAATTCGCTTATAAAAAAAATCATAATCTCTGTTTCTGGTGATTAAGATAAGATGATTAAAATAAGACATCCTACTCATCCTGGCTAATTGCCATTGATGGACCTATTCTCCATGAACTTATCTACTTCTTTTTGGACCCCTGTTAAAGTCCTGGTCTTCACAACATCCTCTGGCAAGGAGTTCCATAAGAACATATGAGCGGCCACACTGGGTCAAACCAAAGGTCCATCCAGCACAGTATCCTGCCTTCCAATAGTGGCCAAAGCCAGGTGCCCCAGAGGGAGTGAACAGGACAGGGAATCATCTCATTTCCAGCCCCTGATAAACAGAGGCTAGGGACACCATTCCTGCCAATCCTTGCTAACAGCCATTGATAGACCTTGTAACCAGTCGGACATGATCCTCCTCCCTCCTCGTCACTTGTGTCTAGCTGACCAGACATGCTCCTCTACTTTTCCCTTCTTCCCTGACCTTGGCTTTCTTGGTTATAATTTGTTAAGCTTTTTATCACACCTTTAGTATGTTATAATGTAATTTCTTGTATTCACGGCTATGAGACCCACTTTGCTTAGAAACCATATTGCTTATGATTCTATGTATGTAACCTATGGAATGTGTGTGAGGTGGGAATGAGAAATATCCAGACAAAAAGGCAGTTTAGGATCCATAACCTTTTAAAGGCAGGCAAAGATCCTGCAAGTAGATAAATTAGCTGACAAGCGACCAGGAAGATCTTCTCCTTTTGGAAGGGATGTAACAGCATGTGAAACCTGGGACTGTATCAGAGGCTGTAGCCCTCCTGAAAATCCAAGGGACTCCAGGGATAGCCATGAGCTTCGTGGTCAGTCGCCAGGAAGCTGATGCCTGGCCAGCTCAAGCTACCTGTGAAATAGGAAGTTACCTATGCCATGTCTGCAGCCTACCTTCAGCTGCCAGTATGAATGAGAGGTGTGTGAGTATCATCTTACCCTTAAGAATCTGTAGCTTTAGTACTGCTTCAGCTCACCCTTTGTCTGGGTTATTTTCTTGACTGATCCAGGGACTGGCAACAGACTAGAACTAGAATGTATCTAGTTCTTTTTTGAGCCCTGTTAAAAGTCCTGGTCTTCAGAACATCCTCTGGCAAGGAGTTCCACAGGTTCACTGTGAGCTGTGTGAAAAAAAACCCTCCTTTTGTTTGTTTTAAACCTGTTACCTATTAATTTCATTTGGTGCCCCCTAGTTCTTAAATTATGGGAACAAGTAAATAACTGTTCCTTATTCACTTTTCCCACATCAGTCATGGTTTTATAGACCGCTATCAAATCCCCCTTAGTCTCCTCTTTTCTAAGCTGAAACTCCCAGTCTTTTTTCTAAGATGAAAAGTCCCAGTTCCACAGGTTGACGCTGTTCTGCCTGAAGAAAAATTTCCTTTTGTTTGTTTTAAACCTGCTGCCTTATTACAGTCCCAGCCTTTGCATTGGTGTTTTTTCCATGTAGTACCGATGTCTGTCACACAGCATCTTGGACAGACAGATGCCTTTGCTTTAGGTTGCCAAGGCCCTCTGTCTCACAAAACACAACTGGGACCTGCAGAACACTCTGCCAGTATTGCATCTCTAGCACCCTCCATAACCACTGTGTTCAGGCAAAGCCAGCAGCTGTGCTGGCAAATGTGCTGTTTTTATGGTTAGCAAAGGCCGCAGAAATATCTTACCCCATTTATATTTTTCACATCCAAACCAAAGTAATGATCTTTATGCAAGAGGCTAAACACTGTTAAGATGTACCGGGCCCTGGGTTTTAAACTCATTGTACATCACCACCCTAATGGTGACTCCCCCGATATCACTTAGCATGAACTTTTTCTGATGGGGAAAAGCCCAATTTCTTCTGGACCCCTGAGATCTTGTGTTCAGTTTATGGAAATATGGGTACCCTGTCCTTAATGCCTGGCTAAATTCTAGGGGAATTAGAATCCCTTCAAACCCATTCCCTGAATGTTATATTTTAGGTTTATTGCGGAGTAAGTAAAGTCTTGTGTGTGTTCCAGTTTGGCAATGAGCGCATCGAGGCAAGGACGCTCTGAACTGAATTGACATTCGGATAGTGAAGTAACTTGTGTCAACGTAATTCTACATCAAACTGGTTTTGGTCCAGGCACTGTCCATGCATGCAGGCACATTGGGTGGCTGGGGCTGACCCAGACCTGGCCAAGGACAGCAGATTGTCTTCAGCAGCCTCTGCCCCACCTCTGTCCACCCCCACAACAAAGACAGACCCAGTCGGCCGCTGGAGCTGGCAGCGCTGAGCCACCTCCAGGCTCAGGGTAGGGTTTGTACAAGGGATGTTAAATATCGGTTAATTGAGAAAGCTCATGATCCCATCTACATGTTTTGTTAGTCTATAAAGTGCTACCAGACCATTTGTTGTTTTTTTCTGTAACAGACTAACTCAGCTACCCCCTGAAGCGCCTTAATCCTTATGTTAGTCAACTATTCTATAGTCCCCAGGGGTGGGACCAGCAGCCAGTGTATCAGAGACAGCAGCGCAGGGTGTCAGGGGGGAGCC